GCCCAAGTCTTGTTTATTTTCGATAGTAGGAATGGGAGCTCAAACCTTTTATTTTAGCAATCACCTACAACTGAATGAAACTTAAACCTGATGTGAACTTAGTTCCTGGCTAATATCATATGCAAGTTGATTATAAAATTATTCGATAACCCCTCCACCATGGAAAGTCACCTAGGAAATTAAATCCTGCGTGCTGATAATCTTATCTTCAAAGCGATTTGTGATCCTAACCAATTTGGAAACGTGACTCTCATTTTTCACCATTTCGACAGAACCGGTCTTTTTTTTTGTTGTTATTACGCACCTTATAGAACAATTTTGTAGTACTGATATAACGTTATGTTATCGTACTTGCGAATGCTACATAATTCGTCTACATAATGCTACATAATTCTTCTAATAATAGCATTTTTATTAATTCTGTCTTGTTTGTGCATATTGTAGAGTTACCTTAACCTGTTAATATATTAACCTGTTTATTATAACTAGTATAGATTTAATAATTTATTTTATAATTCAAAGATTTCTGTTTTATGTACTAGAAAGTATGTGGTCACATTATTTTTTAATGGTAAATTTTTATCACATTACAAAATTTCTATCCTTACCAGAGATACAGCCGATTACTATGCAAAACAGACCAACAATCAAACATGACGTAATCACAGAAAAAACCGACAAAAACGCCATCCAATAATCTTTGCACGTTCGCATTAGTCATTACATGCCATCTTCTTGTTTTCGCTCAATTTTCACTAGGGCGGTCATACTAAAAACAAACAACTTTGAATTATAAGTTAGATGTATTTCGCCCACGTGCAAATTAGGTTAAAATTTGGAAGTTGCTTGGTAACGAGAATGGAACGTGCACGTGCAAAGATTATTGGCGTAACATTATGATCGTTTATTTAATGATTACGTTGTGTTTAGGATGGTTAGGATGGATATTTTTAGTGCAATAAAAACCGGCAATCAGTCCAATCACAGAATACCATTAACTTCCTCCCTGTGATCATGCATGCTTTCTATTATAATACAATGTGTAAAATATTACGTGTACCTAATAGATGGCTCACAAATCAGTGAAAATTTAAGATAATTACTCATTAAATTATAACCGTACAATACGTCTCGAATCTTGAATATTATGATTCGTCAGTATGACACTACGACATTAAACTATACGACATACGTGATTATATCTTAATGGATGGGAATTACTACAGCTTCACACTAATCACACTAATGATCTCCATTTACGACTCGTATTGACACACTTGACATACTTTTTACATACTTAAATACTACATGTTTTACCGTGTTAGAATCGAACACTTCTTAAACCATGAGACCTCAAGTTCAACTGTTCAATTTAATAAGACGAAGAGATTTTGCAAGGGGTTAGTTTGTTTCCCAATCCGTTTACCGCAGTTAATACGCTATTTCTGTAATCTTGCTAACTACAGATTTAATATCAAAACGCACGCGGGCATATAGCATTGTAGAATATGTACGTAAAGATGTATTAATATGGTAAATAAACCATTTTTATGCAAATTGGATAAGTTGGTAAGTTAAACAGAAGTTAACATATTCTGCAATATCTATACTATGGTATGTAAATACATTCGTTTAAAAATAAAAATAGCCTAATATAACCCTATACACTTTAGCAAGCAATAAAGATGATCTTACTTGGAGTGCAGTTCTTGATGAACTTCATGAGCTTATTGGTCTGGAAAAATGACGAGGAAGAGGGTAAGCTTATACTTATCTTTGGCACTATCCGTCGCGGAGTAGAGTCCGCGGCGGAGCCGCCGGACTCCGCCGGACTCCGAGCGGCTCGGCGGAGTGTCCGCCGCGGACTAAGCCACTAGGCGGACTCCGGTCCGCCGCGGACTCCGGCGGAGTGCTTGGCGGACTCCGCCGGACCTCTCCGCCAGACTTAAATCCGGCGGAGTCCGGCGGAGCTTGGCGGAGTCCGCCAGCTCGGCGGACTCCGCTCGGAGTCCGCCTGACTTCCGACTTCCGACTTCCGACCCTCGGCTAAATTTGTCACGTGACATACAACATAGCATTTTGCAATATTGTGGTCAGATGAAAAGGTCGCTAGTGATAAACCTTAACCATTACCCTCACAATGTCAATAGTGTACAACTCTAGTCCTAACTTTGACCCTATAATGTATAAACGTTGACCCTAACCCTCCACCAAACCGTCCGCAGCGAAATATCAATGTCATTGACTGGTCACGTGACCAAAACAATTTTTGTCATATTATCTCATATAGGGAAGCGTTTTTAGTTTTACCCTACACGTTGCATGTGGCGTCAGTCGGCCGGATCCCAGCAAGCAAAAATACGTCGACCATCACAGGACGACGCCAGCACTCTCTACGCTCTTCGAGCTCCGATCGTCCTGTGACGAAGTAAGGACGAAGCCTGAGGTCCTCAGGTAACATCGACCACCGATTGAAAATTCAAAGATTTTTTGACATAAAGGTCAAATGTAAAACTAAAATCTTGATGTTGATTGATTGACGACGTCAATTTTTGAGCACAGCGCGAGCGCATGCGGAAAAGGACCGCGTAGCTAGTCAAGATGTTGATAAATATTTGGCTTGTGGCGCGATGTGTTGCTCTAAGTATAGCCCTCTCGCTTGCAGTAGCGTGCGACCGCCGGAAATGACTTGTGGAACAAGCGCGCCCGCAGCGGCGCGAAAGCACCTGGTTAGCTAGATGAACGCGATGTGCCTTGCATTGTAGGATGAAATCCTACTAGCTAACGCCACTCGCAGCTGTGATGTTCGCTGTACGTCAGCGATCGAAATTTATATGCGTATCACCCGTTAAGATGTGCCACCCGACGCGCCACGCAATTTTTCTCGTTGCTCGTCGCACGTCGACGAACAACAAAGCTCGTTGCGACGCGCAATGAGCTGCCAGGCTAGGACATCGTCCTGGTCCAACAAATTTTGGCGAGCGCGAGCGATTTTCTCCAAAAATTTTATGAGGGCGCCGACTTCCACTCTGGCTAGGTTTCTTCTTATAGGGGGTGCACGATAAAAATAAAGTTGCTTGGATTTAAAAAAATTTTGTACCACTGTTTTCTAGAGACTGTGAGAATTTTCACAATACCAAATTTGTCATACCTTTTTGGAGAAAAATTGTGTGGCACGTCGGGTGGCACATCTTAACGGGTGATACGCGTATAAATTTCGATCGCTGACGTACAGCGAGCAGCACAGCTGCGAGTGGCGTCAGCTAGTAGGATTTCATCCTACAAGGCACATCGCGTTTACCTAGCTAACCAGGTCATTTCCGCCTCCGGCGGTCGCGCGCTACTGCAAGCTTACCTGAGGACCCCAGGCTTTAATGTTGTTAATAGAGATTAGGCGGAATGACAGGCTGAGCGCGGCCCAGTAACTGCAAGCGAGAGGGCTATAGTTAGACTTAGAGCAACACATCGCGCCACAAGCCAAATATTTATCAACATCTTGACTAGCTACGCGGTCCTTTTCCGCATGCGCTCGCGCTGTGCTCAAAAATTGACGTCGCGTCGTCAATCAATTAACATCAAGATTTTAGTTTTACATTTGACCTTTATGTCAAAAAATCTCTGAATTTTCAATCGGTGGTCGATGTTACCTGAGGACCTCAGGCTTCGTCCTTACTTCGTCACTGGACGATCGGAGCTCGAAGAGCGTAGAGAGTGCTGGCGTCGTCCTGTGATGGTCGACGTATTTTTGCTTGCTGGGATCCGGCCGAATGACGCCACATGCAACGTGTAGGGTAAAATTAAAAACGCTTCCCTATATGAGATAATATGACAAAAATTGTTTTGGTCACGTGACCAGTCAATGACATTGATATTTCGCTGCTGGCGGTTTGGTGGAGGGTTAGGGTCAACGTTTATACATTATAGGGTCAAAGTTAGGACTAGAGTTGTACACTATTGACATTGTGAGGGTAATGGTTAAGGTTTATCACTAGCGACCTTTTCATCTGACCACAATATCGGAAAATGCTATTGGCTATGTTGTATGTCACGTGACAAATTTAGCCGAGGGTCGGAAGTCGGAAGTCGGAAGTCAGTGGACTCTGTTGGAGTCCGGCGGACTCCGAGCGGAGTCCGCCGAGCTGGCGGACTCCGCCAAGCTCCGCCGTACTCCGCCGGATTTAAGTCTGGCGGAGAGGTCCGGCGGAGTCCGCCAAGCACTCCGCCGGAGTCCGCGGCGGACCGGAGTCCGCCTAGTGGCTTAGTCCGCGGCGGACACTCCGCCGAGCCGCCGCGGAGCCGCTCGGAGTCCGCGGCGGACTTTAAAGTCCGCTCGGCTCCGCTCGGAGTCCGCCAAAATGTACTCGAGTCCAGTGTAAATACATTTTGGCGGAGCACCGCCGGAGTCCGCTCGGAGTCCGGCGGCTCCGCCGCGGACTCTACTCCGCGACGGATAGTGCCTTATCTTTTGTTAAATTTGGTTCCAATTCAATTATTAACAATTTTAACGGTTTTTCGTCGATCTTTCTACGTACTACTTTACAGCACATTTAAAATTGTTGGGATCGAGTGTCTGGGTTAGGTTCGCCAAGCGAAATACACATAATAATAATAATAATTTGGTCGACCGCAGTCGGGGAGCCGATTTCCCTTTCTAATTGCATTTCGGCCACGGTCCTTTCGGTACAGATTTCCCTGCAGTATAGTCGGGACGCAACCCCAGGCGTATACACTCGTGGCTCAGTGGCTCAGTCGGTTAATCCGCCTGTCTACTGAGTACTGGCCTGGAGGTTGCGAGTTCGAAATACACATAGAAACCGTGATAAGGGCGTCATTTTCAGAGTTCACAATCGTGATTCTAAATCTCTGTACCAAACTAATGTTGAACTGACGACATTTCCATTATTTCATTCATAATAAAAAATTATTTTCTAAAGGAGCAATCATTTTTCTCTATTAGAAGCCACCTTCACCAGAAATTTATTATGATTTTAACGTTTTTATACTAATTGTCCTTGAGATTTTATCAACTTTATGAAACATGAATGTTCATCGTACCGCCCTATTTGTCATAAGATATTCCTCAAGACAACTGGAAAAATGCCAATCTCATAAAAGGAGTTTCCGTACAGTGAGCACAGGTGAGCGATAACTATGAGTCAATTTGGTAAACGGATTTTGATAATACATTATCACTGTGACACACCACATATATTGTATTTGTACGGTATGTGTTACAGTATCAATTTACGATATACTTCCCCCGTATAGTATGCGGAGTCTGTATAATAACACTAAGAATTACTACTTACATACTATGGAATTATTGAAGCGGATCCGTAGGCTTCCATCCTTCGTTAATAGCGCATTCATAAACCGTCTGATTGGTCCGAGTCTTTAAATGAACTCACAATGAACTGACGTCATTCAATGCATGTGTTGCATATTCTTAAATCTTTAGCTAATATAATTATACCAGTGGTACGAAGGAATTCTAATTATCCGGTAACCATTGAGTCTTGACCATGACTCTTGGTTCCTTTTGACGTCACATGAAAATCCACGCACTAAAACGTAGCTCATAGAAAACTGTTCTCGATTTTTCTATAATTCTTGATGTCAAAGACAAATAACATTTCACGCGAGATTAGTAGACTGTTCGTGAACAGTAGTATTGTGATTGCGAACTTTTCAACTTACAAATACTACCGATTAAAATATTATGCTTAATAGTCATTGTGACTCACACGCTGATATAATAATACAAAGGCAGAATGCAGGTGGTATTGTTGGATAGCAAGCAAAATACCACGTGATACTACTTATTGTGATAATTATAATACTTTAGATCTGTTTAGAACAAAAGATATTCTTGGAGGTATATAACTCAAAGTTGACTTCACTTATCTTAAAATAAATTGAATAACAGAACTATTAAGCTACATCATCATAAGCATAACATTGAGCACAGTCTACTCAAGTAATCACGTGGCATAAAGTGCAACTCAACGACTGTTTCCTACACACTGACTGAATACTTTTACTCGCTGCTGTGGTGTAAATGTATCGACAAGACATTTTTCTGGAAGGTTTGAGCAAATACTTTGCTACAGCAGTATAATTGTAGTCTGCAGACTCTACGAATGGCCAGCTCAGACTAATTTTTAGGAATTATTATCCGTGTTACATTACGTGGGCACCACAATGTAAGCAGTATGCTGAGCTGTTTAACTGTACTTGTGGAAGTACGTGGTGCACTAGACAGTCTAGACGGCATGGCGGGCAGCCCTGATATCAGCTGATAATATCATCCCACGCTTTTATTGATATCTGCAAAATTAAATTGTTACAGCCCAGATGTCCATGTCTGACAAAGCCGTCTCGTACTCACGTATACTGTGGAAACAGCCAAATCTAGGCTGACACTGCCCACGATCCTGTATAGCTGTATCCTTCTCCCTTACATTCCTCACACTGTTAATGTCATTACTTCTCGTGGGCTGCTGTGATATTGTCATCACGTGACTAGGTTATTGGACATTGTGACAGGTTAATTGGGGTAGGGGCAGCCAATTTAATGCAACTGGGATGTTTGAAATTGATAAAGTTATATATTATAGAACTGGTGGGCATGTGTTCACTGGTGGGCACTGGGTATATCATTGTAGTCATGGTCATCATTTTAGGCCAGGTAATATTGTAGACTGAGGAACAAGGTGCATACTGTATATTGTCTTCTTTTGTTTTTGATAAGTTAAAACATCAATTATTAAATTTGTGATGATAATTTTGATAGATATTAGCAGTTTCACATGATAACATGAGTCATGTGAACCACCCATCTTGAACAAATAACGATGACAAGTTTTGTAAGTTGTAACACATGGTAAATTCAGCTAAAAAGTATAAATACAAGCAGCAATAATATCATCACCTAAAAGCATAAGAGAAAAACTTTCAAAACGTTACAACTAAACAAAGTTTTCTCCAAAATTCCTGGTTCATTTTAAACATCAGTCTTGAGAACATCAGTGCTTACGACGCTACCTTGTAAAATGTCAGTACTAATCATACTGCTTTGCTTTAACATATCAGTGCTCACTACACTACTTTGCCTCAGAGCATTGGTACGTCTCAAACTACTGAGCACGTTCTGGGAGGACATTCTACTTGCAGACAACTCCCTGCTCACGGAATTACAGTCCCTATCTGCATTCCATCCCTTTACGTGCAATACTTTCTTAACAAGAAATTCTCTAAAACTAGCTATGGATATTAAATATATCAAAGGATTTGCCATAAAGTTCAAAAAAGGAGCAAATAGCGCTATCTTGTATGAACCCATGTGGAAAGGATTCTGAATGTCAAAGTTGGCCCCGAGTACTAAGATTATCCCGAAAGGAACAAAAGAAGCCATGAAGACTAGTGAGATGAGAATTGAAGTGATCACACTTTGCTTCTGTAGTCCTCGGACCTTGTGGACGAAGAAAATGAGCCATATAGTCGAGATAGAAATGATTCCGAGTGGTACGAATACCAGAAGGGTAGATTTAATGGGATCCAGCCATTTATCCACACTTGGAAGGTCAGCAGCATCACACCGGAACACTGAAGATTTGTAGGAGACGTCCCTCCGGAAGAAGAAGTCTGGAATGATGGGAAGCAGGGAGAGTGCCCAGATGCCACACACTATTCGGTAGCCAGTCCGTTTGGTCCTGGTCCTGGCTCTGAAGGGGAAGAGGAGGCTGGTGAGCTTGGTGACGTTCAGTGAGCAGAGGAGGAGGATGGAGGCAGTGGATAGGTAACTCTCTGTGTAGTTTGTCATTACGCAGATTATGTTCCCCCACAGCCATTTGTTGAACATGGCAGTTCCAGCAGTTGGTATTATGACGGACAGAGCCATGACCAGGTCTGAAAAGAGAGTGGTTAGTTTTAAGGATAGTCAACGATAAATATTATTCGTTTACTAATCTTTTTTTTATATATCTTCCTTGCTGAATATCGATTTTCAACGTTAGTTATAATGCTTATTTAATGCCAAAATTTAAAAGAACTCATCGGTTAAATATAACTAATTTGTGCGTACCTGCAACAGCTAAGTTGGTAATGAGAATCACTGCGATCTTGTCAAGTCGTATGGCTCTGTAGACTGAAGCTGCCAGAAGTACAGCTGTGTTGCCCACTATTGATACAACACCACAAACCAGACACCACGCGACTATACACACGTGCTCTGCGCTGGTGATTTCCATGGTAACTATTGGTGGACAGGGTTAAGCTGTGATTCATTTCTCAAGTGGATTAGATATAAGGTGAAATATATTTTTAATAAATCAGCACGAAATGAGGATTTAAGTCCAGGTATGTCGTTATCACTTATCATCTTATGAAAGTCCTTTAAACGAAAGCTGGACTAATATTATAGTTATACACATTACGCAAATTATATTAAAATTAAATCCAAATTCCAAAATGTATTTCAATAGGGGCGTAAAATTGCCACAAGGAAGAATGGAAAGGTCTAACTAACATATTATGCCAGTGCCTGAATTTTATGTCAAATCTCGAACAAATTGAATTTGTGAGGGTAGTCAGATTAGCACCATATATGGAGGCAAATTGTGGCGCAAGCATCACTCTAATGGCAACCGCCTATTAGATCAAATCAACTCTCATTATGGTTCACCGTGAACCATAATGAACCAGGTTCACGTGATGCCATTACCATTTACCACCCACAAAGAAAAAAGAAAGCTTCAGAAACGTTATTATTGTTCATGCTAGCGACTAGATGTTTATTGCACCCGAATGATCGCAATGCTGAGTTATTGATGCGACAAAATAACAAAATGGCATTTATTGACAATATATTTGAAGGATAATTACAAATTAGGCATATTCATCATAAATTTCTGTCACGAATGTTATAGGACCAGACGAGCCGATGAAGAATATCAGAGTTTAAAGTAACCCTAGATATCAAACCTTCAAACTTAGAGTTGATAGTTTTGATGGTCGAGTAATTGTCAATTAGTAGTAGTAGTAAACCCGCAATGGGGTGACATGAGCCTCAATAGGATATTACATAAATTTATATTATGATAATCACATACTCAAACAATATCAATAGATCATTCACATTATATATAAAAATAAATTTTAAAGAATCAATGATCTATATTATTCAGTTGACCACGAAGATATTCCCGGTAAATTTAGTAATATGGATCGTTCGCTACTACTTATAATAATACATATAATAAACATTTGACAACTTTACTAGTTTACTGCCACATTGAGAGAATATAAAGTTAGAATTTTGTTGTACACAACCTTTTAAAATAAAATAAATTAAAGATGGAGCATATAAAGAAATGCTCGTTTAAACATATGATTTTAACGTTTACCCAGGTAGTAGTAATAATATGAAGCTTCTATAGATACCAAGTTTTATTCGCGACAGCCAATAGCCATCCTTCATTTAAAATAATTATTAAATATTTATATTAAGAATTGTAGTTTATAACTTTATAAGTTTGATGGTGAAGTCTAGTCAAAAATAATCTATTTGCTCATGATTAGATGAATGCTGTGGGCGAATTAAGAAATATCAATTTAACTACATAATTATTTTGCAGCTTTGGTGTGACACGATCAGACATTTTACTGCCAACACACCATTGAAAAGTTAAATGAACTAAAGATCGAGCTCTTGAAACAGATTGAGAGTTACCACATCAACATGTGTTTAACGAATATCTCTGCATAAGTATAATACGGTTTTACTGTCACGACCATGCTTATGCTATATTTGCTATATTTGCTATATTGTAAATTATATAGTTATTAGTGAACACACCCACCTAAAATACTATTAAATACATCAAATTAAAGAGCATCCTATCACTATGTAAGAGAGCTAAGGTTATTGAAAAATAATTCTGCAAAAGGAATAAAGATCAGTGCGACATGTCGTAAAAGTTGTGCTGCAAGTCTCGGCAAGTAACCACCAAAGTCTCGATCCAGGTTTTAGGGTTGAATTAAGTCACAATCTAAGGTCGTCAAAAATTAAATAGTAAACGTAGGTTGTGTGTCAAGATAACGGTGTGACTGACTGAATGGTGATTGTTACCGGATATTG